AAAGCTACAAACCATACTGCTTCGGAAAGCTATCTTAGGAGATACAGCAGGACAATATTAATTTTTCTTTGATGATGAAAGAATAGCCTGTGTGATTCAGAAACATTTCTTGTGGTACTTGAGGCACAATGGTTGGTAAGAACAGACTGCTTGCTAGGTAAGTTGAAAATTGATGGGATGGCCAGGCTTGAAGGCTTAGCACCTGGTTGGTAGCAGGCAGTGAGTGGACGATGAGGAGTCATGGCTTCTTTTGTCTGGGGAAGAGAAGGCTGTGAGACAGTCATAGCAGCCCCCCAATTGCTTGAAGAGCAGTTTCAAGGGTGACCAAGTTAAACTCTTCCTGGTAGAGGTACAGAGTGTAAAAGCAGAACAAATCCTAAACAAATCCCAAAAAAACAAACCAACCAACAAAAAAAAAAACCCAAATCAAAACAAACAAAAAAAACACAACAGAAAAAATCATATTTAGAAATTACAGCTTGGGGGGATTAGATTGGGCATTAGGAAAAAACATCTTATCTAGAGAAGTAGTGCAGCACTGGAACAAGTTATCCCAAGGCACTGTGGAGTTTCTATCCTTGAGGGGCGTTGCGTATTGGCTAGAAAATGCCAACCCTCAAATGGGTGTGCTGCTCTGGTGTGAGTGAGAACTGTAACAGAAGCAGGAGCTGGGACTGAGGGTCTCCAGAGGTCCCTGGAAAGTAGCATTTATGTGATTTTGAGTGCCTTTGTCCTGATAGCCATTTTATGTACAAACAATATTGAACAGAGCTATTTGTCTTCAATTTTCTGCCAATAACAGGTGACTTTCCAGCTTTTCTTTTGTGCCTGGCAAAAGAGTTAAATTTCAATTGACTGTTGCATTCAGATAATTGCTAAGAAGTGCCTGGAGGCAATTGAGCCAGAGACAAGATAGAAAGAGGTACCCCTGTATGCCTTGAGTTACTACTTTTGAAAGTAGACTAACCACTTTTAGAAAACCTGGTGAAAAAGGAAGAAATGCCATGTTATGTTACATTTCAAAGAATTTCTTGCACGAAGTTGCAGTTTCTGTACATATGGGGATGATGTAATAATTATATGGGAATGCTTTTCAATTACTTCAATTAAAAAACCCTGGTTCCTCTGAAGTTCTGTGTTAATGAGTAACTACTTACTGTCAAAGCAGAGGACTCAAACTACAGCATTGCTGTATATCTGAAAAAATCTCTAATGTTAATTGGTAGATGTTTGGAGTTCAGACTTATGTTTGAATTTGGCTTTATTTTTTTTTTAAGCAGTGATAAACACATGTGAGCTAATGCTGTTTCTGAAGGCCTAAAAGTTGCTTTTCATAATTTAGGGCTATAGTGTGAAATGAACCAAATAATATACTAACAGTGTGTAATTAGCAGTACTCTCATCCTGTTGTGACATTACTGTAGTTTTAGCAAAAGGATTGAAAAAAATAATTTTACTGGTACTATGTGATCTTTTAGGTAAATTAGTGCTGAGGCCGTTACTTCACTCATGGTGCTCCTCTTTTCTTCTGCAGCTCCTCTTCTGTTCCGGAACTGTATGCGTTTGTCTGAGTTTTACCCATGACCCTTGCTAAAATGTAGAGATTACAATGTACTAAGAAGTAGTTATTTGCTATATTTAAAAAGTGTCAGCACTGATCTTAGTGAAATGTATTGTGCCCATGGGGGAAGAGACCTACTTTGAAGTAGGCAGGAATGAGCTTGTCTAGTCGGTGGGTTTAATTTCAGTTTACAGTGGCATTTGCTGATCTGTTTGGTGATACTGTGGTTTTTCATCTGCCTTACCACATCGGTGGAAGGGTTAGGCACTGCCGTGCTTTCAGAATGCCTGGAATCTTGTTATTTTCAGGGTCAGACTTTTCACATTGATAGATGTATAAATCTGGTGATAGCATCTTTTACCACATCAAAGATACTGCGGCGACTCATTCTTCAACTTCAGGCTATGCTAAGCATGTACTGTCCTTTCCTAGTAACCGTGTCATATCCCTGGGTCAACTCAAGGATTTTTCCCTTTTGGTTTGAATTGTTTCCAGGACTTTCTCCTGAGTGATCTCAGTTGCTCATCATCTGATTAAGCTTTTTACTGAAGATGCAAATACATTGTTTTGGTCCTTGTCTTGTCCCCATTTCCCTTGTGTGGTATTGTTGCCTCCTGGCTGAGGTGGTGCCTTGCTTACCTTAGTCCTTGCTCTGAAAGTGATGTTCCAGAGTTATTCAATGGTGTTTGTACAGTAATTTTTTTTAATTTTTTTTTTTGGCAGTTGTGGGGCAGGGTGAGTGTGCAGAGGACAGTTGTTAATAGAAAGGCAGACAGTTCACAGCAGCTATGTATATAGCTTTGGAGTTATACAGCTGACCACTGTAAATCTGAGTGAGCTTGTTACTCTCTTTTAAGTGTAACTTGGACTGATTTATACCTAAAATAAAGCCAAGAATTGCAAAGTCATTCCACAAAGAACAGATACTATAGTCTCATCTTAGCTGTGTTCAGGTACCTGTGCTTTTCACACAGTCTACTAAAACGAAATTTTCAAAGCATCCATGAACTCTGTAGAATGAGGAAAGCTTTTTAAAGTACACTGGAACAATTTATGTAGAACGGATAAAAAGGAATATTGAAGCTTAGAGAAATAACAAGCTTCATTCTCCAGCGACAGCAATTACTTGCCTTTGTAGTCATACAAAATAATTCTTTTGTAAGAGAAGAAATTCCACTGTGTGAGAGCAAATATTTGAAATGGAGCAAGTGGTGTGTGTGTGGGAATTTGATATGTTCATGTAACACTGTTGTGTGCTAAAGTAAGTAGCTATTTTTCTATTACAAATGGAGAAGCTTGAAGGTACTGGAGGTGCCAATAATTTTTTTAACTAAATTGCCACATCTTTTCATTCTCTTGCCCCTTTTTATTGACTTCTTATTTGATATGCCTGGACTATTTACAGTCCTGACTTGCAGCGCTGTTGTTATCAGTGTCCTGATGATGCAAAAGAAAACACTTTTTAATATGTTGTGAAATATATATATCTTGTTTTGTAATCATGTTTGTGCTTTTAAAGACAAAACAGACCACTGATTACAGTGTCATCAGATACCATGCTTTGACACCATCTCTGAAATGGTGATCCTTTAAATACTTTGGAAATAGCACTCTGGTGTACTAATCTCTGGGAAAGTAATTTTTATTATTGTTGGCTCCTGTGTTTCACATGCAGCTCTCAGCTGACAGATTATACATTATAGAAAAATGCTAGTGACTCAGCTAACAAAAACCCAATGAAGTATCTAAATTAGGAATTCTGGGTTTGTGCCTTTTTTTCTTGTTATTGCGCACTGTCCTCTCTTCCTGCAGTCAGTCCTCTGCAAGGGTATGTGGACACTGGCAAGACCACACTCCATCAGTTTTATATAAGCATCCATTCTACTTAAAATTTACCAGTTTCATACCACAAGTGGAAGGCACAAATCCAAAGGAATAGAAGGGAAAAGTCTGTCAGACTTTAAATTATATTTAAGTATAGATTACTTTAAAATAGCAATGCAGTTTCTGCAGCCTTCTTTTCTTGCACGACACTCATTTAGCTGTCAACCTTTACATGTAGCTATAATAAGGTAGAATTGCAGTGTGTATTTTCATAGTAGACTGAAGTATGTATGTCTTTTATAGCTTCAAATGAATATTACCATAATGCTGGTTATAAAAAAAAAATCAGAAAAATTATAAAGTATCTAACTGAAAAAGACAATGAATAGCTGAAACCAAAATAATATTAACTCTGCCGTACAAAACTACAACCTTATTTTGTTACAAAAGTTATAAATAGATAACTCTGAGAATTCCTATAATTTACTGACTGAAATATCAACTTCATTGTATACAGGTTTTTTGAAAAAGCCAAAGATAATAAAGTCACGTGCTGTAGCATAAAGAAGTGGTTTTCATTCGACATGCTTATGGAAATAAATTTTGTAGTTTAGAGATTTCATCGTTGTATGTCACAAGGTTAAACTGTATCCAGATTAGATCAGTACCTTTTCTTTTTGCAGCTAAATCCCCAATATGAGCTGATTGCAGCAGCTCAATATGAATTCTTGTGAATATTGGACACTTGAGAATGAGGTTTCTTGGGTTAATGTGAAGAGAGTTGTTGTGGCTCTGAAAGGCATGGCTGCTGCTCACCAGATGAGTCCTCTCCCTCTCCTTCATTATGAATTAGTAACCTGAATAGGTCTTTTCAGTAGTTTCAGTGTTACTGTGGCTTTAAAAATCAAACATAGTTGCCTTATTTCTTTTTAGTTAATTTCTTGACATATTGTAAAATGTTAATTTAATTTTGCATATATTTAGTCTAACAATGCTGTGAACAATTTTGAGGAATGCCCTTGATGGTGGCTCATCTGTAAATGCCCGATTTTTTACATTTGTGATTTTCCCGAGTTTCCCAAGCATGTCCCACTTTTTTTCCTGTGTGAGGACAACTTTGCTCTGATACAGCCCTCGGTCATCAGAATTTTTATCAGTTGACCCAGTAAATGTAGGACAGTCTCCATTAACAAGAGACAAATTTGTATTGTATCTTTTGTGATAGATATGAGCAGACCTCTCCTTGTACCCTTGTGTGATCTCTGTGCAATCCCGAGTAATAAAGAACTGAAACCATCAGCAGGCTGCGTGATGTAGCCCTTGGGCTGGTGGACGTGAGGAGTCCACTTATGCAGTCACATTCATTTCCACTTGAACTTCTGTTCTGCTTTCTGAACAGCAGTTGAGACTTGGGTTTGAATAACTTTTTGCCATGAAAGTAATACTTATGATTTTCAGGTGGTTTGTACTATATGGGCTTTCCAAACACAGATTCTCGCAAGATGAGGAAAAGCAAACGAAACAAAAGTGTCTTTATCTGTGCATTATATACGAACACTTTGGGAAAAGGAGAAAGAATGAGTATTAATGCGTCTGTTTTGTGTCTTTACTATAGGTGTGCAGGATCCTCACCATGAGAAGATAATTACTGTGACTACTAATGGAAGTATTCACAGCCCCAAGTTTCCACACACGTACCCACGCAATACTGTACTAGTGTGGAGATTAGTAGCACTAGATGAAAATGTATGGATACAGCTTACTTTTGATGAAAGATTTGGGCTTGAGGACCCAGAAGATGACATTTGCAAGTAAGTTACTTTCCCTTTAAACTTAGGAAAATATGAAAAGAGGTTGTTGGGGAATGAAAAAAAAGCTTGAGTTTAACAAAACTGTGACATGTCTATATATTTATAAAATGCATCTTTTAAAGTATTAGTTTATGATTTTTTTTTTGCAGTGCTTGAGAAGGTTTTCATGCTTGAAAGCTCCAGGATGCCTCCATTTTTAGTTCTGCATTCAGTATCTGGAACACAGATATGATACAAAAATGTGACATATTTAATCTCTCTCTCAAGTAAAAGTTTTGATATCTGGGAAAAAATTCTTGATGGAATGTTAGAATGATTAATGTCTAATATTTACAGAGAAGATTTGGGTAAGCAAGTTACCTGAAGCGGAATTCAGGTTATGACAAAAAGTAATACATCCCTGTTCATGACCCCCACACACACTACTCCACAATATTTTAATGGCCTTAAATGGTCACGTTCTCTGTTTGCTATGAAAAACAGCACTTACAGTATTGCGCTAGTTGACATTCTTCAGTGGTATTGTTTTTTCCCCGACATCAGTAAGTATCTGCCAGCTCAATCACTGGCCCAGGTGTCTGTAGTACCTGTGGAACCTCTTTTTCCTTCCATGATTCTCAGATGAATCTCATTTGTACTACTCGTAGTTTGGAAGAGAAAGAACTGTGACATAATGGGCGTCAAGATAGATGTCGTTCTGAACCTAGCCATCTGGTTGATAATGTTTTGGATATTTGTGAGGCAGTAGAGGCTGACTATATACTTCCTGTGGGTGAGTGAAAGGGGAGAGGTCTTAAACTCCTATATCTTGTATCTGTTGGTCATCGCAGCAACAGATTGTAAAAAAATTTGATGTGCCAATAATGGTACATTGTCTGAACTCTTCAGTAAATTAAGCAACAGATAAAATATGTCATCTGAATCACATATTCTCCTTTGATGTGTTCCCAGAGAGATGCTTCACACAAGATTTTTCTTTAAAAGTAATTTGGTTTTGTTTTGTTTTTCTGTTTCCAGTTTTATTTTTGTGTACCTCATATACACATGTGATTTGATTCTTGCTTTCAGTTTTTCTAATTAACTGATATTCCATTGTTTTTTATATCTAGTATCAACTTTTGATAATAAATTTGAATTTTTAGAGGTTACTTTTCTACTTATTCTTAATTTGGGAGCAGAAGTTTGTAACAGATGGATAATTATCTTTCTTTCATAATTCTGAAGGAAGTAATTATCATGGGATGTCAAATAGAATTAAAATACTAAGTACTATAAACATAACTCAGATGAGTGCATTCCCTTTGCACAATAATTCTTTTCTTTAAGTGAAAACTTAGCTTGCTTTTTCTTTTCTTTGCATATGGCAGAGTGAAGTGGCAAGTGAAAGAAAATCCAGGTAGGGTGACTCATTCGTCCACTTGCAAAAAGAAAAGTAAGATAAGTCAAAATATTTTATAATATTATAACTAGAATAGTATTGTAATTGGAGTACTTTTAAGTAGTCAATGTGCTGAATACAAAAGTACTGACAAATTAAGAAACAGTAATAAGTCACTCATAATCTTCACTTGGTTGTAATCTCATCATGCTAGTATTTGTGCAGGGCTGCTAGGAAGTTGTATGAATACAGTTCCTGGTATGTGCACTTCAGAGGAAATTGGATTGGAAGACACAACCCCTTGAAAAAGACACTTGTATTGTTGATTTCAGTGAAAAGAAAAAGAAACGTAGCTAGGATTCCTCTGAACTTTAATTTGGTAACAAGCTCAGTAAAGGAAGAGAAAGTGTACCTTGTTTGATGTGAAGGGAGTATAAAAAGTGACAAATTGAGGAAAAAAACTAAAACACAGATTAAATAGGTAAAATAATTCTACCCAGGTCAAGTAAGTTACCAGTTATCAGAGTATTATCTCTTTATGGCTTATGTCTTGCATCTCTTACCTCTTAGAGTTCCTAATAAAATTATTTAATCCTATTTCCAGTATTTTTTGTAGAAAAATTAAGGCTTTTTTATTGACTGGATCCTGTACTATTTATTGCTTCACTGTGTTTCTGCCATCCTGAAACAATTTGGTTTTGTTGCTGTGGAGTACTCAACAAAAGCAAGTTCGTATGACAAAACACAGAATGAAAATATCAGATGAAATTAAATCTATTATAACTCTATACCTTTAGTTCTGACCTATGACCGAAAGTAGGTAAAAACTGCAGCCTGGTAGCATTCCATTAGACTTTCTATGAAACAGTGTACAGTGTGTATCAGGATTTCTTTCTCTCTCTTCTGTAGTGTATGAGACAACATCATGAGTTACCTGCAGTGGTAACTGTCACAGTTTTCAGTTCCTCTACCTGTTTGTTAAGCTTCTTATTCTGGGTAATGCCAGAGCTTTCTTCATCATCATTGTTGGCTGTAGTGCCCTGCAGTGTAGCTCACAGGAACAATGAGAGAATAGGCTGAACTATATAAGCTTCAGATAATTAACAGTTTTTAAATCTCGTAGTAGTTCAAATATTGCTCATACATTGGAGAAAGATAAAACATGAAGATATTCAGCTACATAAGGGTTATTTGTTTAACATAGTTCTATAACAGACATAGAATGGTAGTGGTGAATAAAATATGTCATAGATGTATCCTGAAACTATGGCAAGCTTTTCCCTGTATCTGGCTGACCTCCACACTTGGATTTCTCCAAAGCAGTTGTGGTAGTGTTCTTGGTGTTGAGCCAATCAGGTTCGCCCCTGTGAAATTAACATATTACAACAGACCGGAAAAAGAGACCTGATACGTAGCTGGAGGGAGAGGCAGCCATGACTTGAGACACCATGTGTTAGAGAGAGGGGCCAATGAGCCCCACTGGGGGCCAAGGCCCCCAGCCCCCGGCCGGGCTGTGGGAGCCCGGTGCAGTGTTAAAACTGGAGCGGGTGCTGTGGCCAAAGGCTGGGGGGGAGTTTCTTCACCGTGAGTGGATGGCAGAAAGACGCCGGAGCAGTGGTGGAGGCAGCACGGAATGGCCGGAGCTAAGACTGGCTTCTGGCCAGAGGACTATACAGAGAAATTCCACAGAGCAAGAGAAGATAACCGGCAAGCAGCAACATGGCACATAGCCAGGCTGAGAGACGCAGAGATGTCCAACGAAGAGAGAGAGAGCCAGCAACAGAGCAAAGAAAACTCAGCAGAGACTGTTTTGGGGTAAGACTGAATTTCTCCCCAAAACCCTTTAGACCCACCTTTGGAAGGAGGGGTGGGCTTCCGTTTGAAGGGAGTTCCAAAATGCAGCAACAGCTACAGAGAGGGAGAGAAGCTGAGAACTCAGAGATGTCCTGTGAGCTGGACCAGGACAGTCAGACCAAGGAATGCGGGGGAAGTGGCCTTCCCCCTGCCATGTTTGCAGCAGAGATGAAGCAAAGGAGCTCTGTTAGAATGCTTGGGGCAAAAACTGAACTGAGAGCCCCTAAACGTTCTGACTCAGGGGAACTTGACCCCCAAGGAAGGGACTTCCATGGGATGCCTCGCACCCTGTGATATGGCCATGGTAAGGCGACTTTTGTCCCTGCTTTGCGGCCCACGGGAGAGACCTTTGGTTGGAGTCAAAGGGCTGAGAGGAGTGAGAAATAAAAAACCCTGCGTTGTAATGAAGAGAGAAAGAGATATTTTCCTGCTACAACAAAATGAAACTGCTGCTTGGAAGAGAAGAGATTGAGCTGCCCTGAAAGCGATCTTCTTCTTTCCTTATAGATTTTTTATTGGAGGGAAAGGAGGGATTTGATCTATGTAAATATGTTGCTTTACCATAGGAGAAATAGTTAAGATTGTTGTATATACATGTATTATAGTAGTTATTGTGTAAGTAATAAAATTTGATATAATTCCCCCATGCTGAGTTGTGCCTGTCTGAAAACTTCCCTTACATTGAGGCAAATTGTGGGGGGCTTGGAAATTGTATTTTTGGGGAGTTCAAACCATGACATCAGTTCTGACATTTCAAGCTATTCATTGAAGTCTTTTCATCTAGAACAAATATCACATTTTCCAGATATATTGAGGGTCTAGTCTCCACTTCAAATATTTTCCTGAATGTGAATCAGAAGTGACCCTGCATGGCTTTTTTTTCACTCTGTTATTACTTACAATTCAACTTACAATACTTACTAATGCTGAACATTTGCATTACAACAAATTTTATGTCTAAGACCAGCCATGCTGACCCAGACTCACCTGAAACAACATTAATGTGCATGTTGTGCTAATTCTCATCAGTCTTAAGCATGATTGCTGTATTCTGTATGTTTTAGAAATAAAGTTTAAATTACAGGTTTTTTAGAATAAAATTCTGATATTTTGCCTGTATTTCACCAGGTGATTTTTATCCTGGTTTTAAAGTTATGATGTGCTTGAAATTTATGCAGATCATCTCTACATTCCTTAAAAGACAGCTAATGATTTTTTTAACAACTGTTCTACTTCATCTGCACTTGATCCTTTCTCTGGACAAAATGTTAAAAATCTCACTGTGTCCTTTCCAAAATGAACACAAACTCCAGTTTTCATTAAAACCAGATCCATGCATATATCTAGAAGAGATTTAGGTTATTTGGTTGATAATATGGATATATAAATCCTCTGCAATATTGCAGTAATTTCAGTCTCATACACTTCATTTGATTTCATTTGTGACTTGCAAAAGAAAAGGTTATGAGCAAAAACATCACCCAGCAAACCAAACAAACCAAAAGGATGGATGCCACTCCTGTGTGTTTTGTGCAGTGCTGTTCACATGATAGAAATTGCACTGAATTTCTAGCAAACAGAGGCATTGTGGATTTAGATTGTGTATGCTTACCCATTCTGACTAAATAGCAATGCAATTTTTCTTCTGCTGTTATGATAGCTGATATGAAAGGTCATTATTTTCATTATGCTAGTCCCTCAATGCTGTTTTAATCATAAAACCATTAGACTTCTGTGCCAGACAGCTCCTGTCATCAGGGATGTTCCA